GGACTGAATCCTAATTGGGGAGAGTCAGAAACTCTCAAATTTTGCTAACAAGCTGGACATCCCTGTACTTTTTACAAATTTACATAAATAATTACTCCTTGTTGTTTAACTTTATGTAATTCAAATTCTTGCAGCAGTCAATACATTAAATATTTGTAAATCACTGTTTTTCCATCTGTCCCAGAACATTTATCTTTAGTTGAATAGGATATCACAGGCTGTCATGTTTTTATCTTTTTTTAAAATATAAGGATCTTCCAAATTCTTTGTAGATCTGAAAATATTTTTTACATTACATACAAACTGCCACGCAGTATTGCCTTGCCAATGATTAACATTTAGTGGATGTTTTTTAAACAACCTGTGTGGAATTTTGCTGATCTGTATGGAGGAATGTTAGACAAAAAACAACACAGGTGTTTTTGAAGAAACAGTTGTGGCCCCTGATGCTGGACGGGAGTTGTGGGTGTCTGTATCTCTCTCTTGACCCAAATTTTGCCATACCTCTACAGGGAGTAACCGTGTAGGAAAGATCATCATGACTGCTGCAGCAAAACATCTGACACCTTTGACTCTGGAGCTGGGGGGTAAAAATCCCTGTTACGTGGATCACTGCTGCAATTTCCAGAATGCAGCCAACCGAATTGTATGGGGAAAATTTGTCAATGCTGGACAGACATGCATTGCACCAGATTATGTGATCTGTACAGTTGAAACACAGGAGAAGTTAATACCTTGCCTGCGCCAAGCTATCCGTGAATTCTATGGCCCTGATCCCAAGGAGTCCCCTGATTTTGCCCGCATGGTCAATGACAAGCATTTCCAGCGTGTCCAAGCTTTGCTGAAATGTGGCCGGGTGGTCATTGGTGGAGAGACCGATGAGTGTGACCGTTACATTGGTGAGTATATAGCTTGGGGCTTAGGGAAGAATCAGGGGAAAAGTTTGGAGCTGGGGAAAGACAGGAAGACATTTTATGATTACTATCTAGTAAGCTTATGGAGAAAATCTATGTGGTCGCAAGAAGTCAAAAACAACTTGATGGCACATAATCAGTCAATCAGTCAATTAATCAAGCTTGTTAAAAAGTGCATGGTGAGTAGGTATAAGGATGAAATCAGGCTTCAGGTTGGTACTGAACAAATGTGTTGGACTTTAACTCTCATTGATTGACAGATTTTGTGTGGGATTTTGAAAGTAGAAGTCCCACAATCTGGCAAGTGTCAGATTGGGAAAGTGTTTTGGAGAGAGCAAGAAGACAGACATGTTTTCCTGGGTTTGCGTATTGGAAGTGTAGT